ATCTTCTTTGAGACCTCGTGAGTTAAAGAAACACTCACCTTTAGGCTTTTATCAGGCATATTCTTATTAATCTACTTTATCAGTGAATTAGGTTTTTTTTCCCCATTTCTCTAGTTGACACACTGACACAATTTGCATGTTACAGTGTTAAACCAGCTGATAATTACAAAAACAATCACATTTATCAAGAAACTGACAAGAGTAACAAAACTCTTGAACAGTTTAAGACACAAACAGGAGAATTTCTGATAAAATACCATTGAAAGAAGCTTAAAAGCTGTGAGTAAGGTTAACCACTGACTCACACAGGCCATTGCTTACCGGGCGCGCCGCAGTCGGCGCATCGCCTGTTGTCCGGACGCTTCACCAGCTCCAGTAAGATCTTTTTGTTGCGCTCATGGTTTGCCATATCGGCACAAAGTCGGGGTCTCTTCTCAAACGACGATGAATCCCTCGGTCGAAACTAAACATGGTGGTCACATAGCTTCACACGTGGCGACATGCAACTGACAGAAACGTCCATTTGAAAACTGGAAGTTGCGACAGATTATGTTTTGGATGTCCTAACACAAAGCAGGCGGCGACCTCCCTCCTCTGGAGCAAACAATGCGCGCTGCTTTTGTCTCTGGGGGGTTGTCCTTTTTTAAACAGCCTACACACAGTGCACAGCGCTGCTCTGTCAAATGTTAACGCTGATGAGGCATTCATGCATGCATCTGATCACAAACTCACCTGAAACCAGTCCAGCCACTGTGTCATGTGAGTAAAAGTATTTACAGTTGTTACTGTGAATTACAACACTGTTACACACACTGAGGTCAGACAGTGTATTATGCTGGAAATGAAGCATATAAATGGTGAGACAGTTTATTTATTTGGTTGTGATAAACCTTTATTTATTTGGTTGTGATAAACCTTTATTTGGTCACAACAAAACCCACTGTGAATAATGTGTACACATTTAAGGCTGAAAAAAAAAATTATACAAAAAAAAAAAAATCTGTGATAAATGTGAAAGTGACATTTAAAAGCTGTCTGCCTTTTATGAACTATGAAACAAGATCCTGGGTGTATTAACAGTATTTTGAGTGGAGAATTTACACGCAGCCTTTACAAATAACAAAAAGCAAATTCTATTTTATACGTTAACCTCTTACAAATCATTAATGATACACATTTGCTCCTCAAAACAAATTTCTACTTGATAAAAACACTTCGCAAGATGCAAAGCAAATTGATAAATGAAGCTTCAAAAGTATAAAACACTACTGTACAAAAAAAAGATACACTCCATCATATAAAGTAGTTATCTTTAGTGCATTCTTTGAAAGCACCAAACAAAATGTGCTGAATCAGAGCACATTTGAGGTTATTTAGCTGTGCACCCTTCAGGTGAGAATACCTTTATGTATTCAGTCATTTTCATCTTAAAAATGTGTAAACTTCCCCACAGAGGGTTAGTAACCTCACCCCGTGCTGAGGTCAGGACAACACAGACACAAGAGGCAACACTGAATCATGCTGCACGACTATTCGTTCTTGTGCCACAGCACAGCCTTTAAATGGGCTCCTTCTTCCAGTTTAAGAGCCAAAAATGTACGGCCCTTAAAACTGTGACCACTCAAAGGGCAATATTTGTTTAAGGCCTATGTGTGTTATGAGGACACGTCTGATCGCCTCGGTGGTTTAGGGGAAGTCTTCAGCAAGGTGCTGTAGAGTGCTCTTTTCAACACCCAGGTGGATCGCATCTAGGTAGTGCAGGAACCTGGAGTGGGGGGGAAAGAAAACACAGCTCAGTTTTGTCTGACTCATTTTAACAGACTTGGTTGCGTTTGTATGAGTCGCATTCATGCACTAAGTCTTGCAAACAATTACAATTCAAATAACACTTCTATATGTAGCCTGAGTCATATGCGCTTGGTGTTAAAACAAGCAGAACTTACATCATTACATGAGTCATCTACTAGTAGCCGGTCAAGAAACCACATCTTGGCCACTTTGGCCCTGTGTGGACTGACTATTATGCGTCTAGGGTGATCTGATCTGATAAGTGGGCAACTCCAAGTACAGGTGTGAATGCACCCAACGTTCTGTTTATACCTGGCATTAATGTGCAGGACGCACAAGTTTACTGTCTCTGGCGTTAATGCCGTTCTTTGTAACCTGTGATGTGAAAACACCCGATTTCCACACAGAAAAAAGGGTGTGTTGTGCTCGTAAAGGTCAGTTACAAAATCTCAGCCACCACGGAGCATCTCTCCTGCAGGGCTAACAGTGCAGGTAAAACATCGACTCAGGCTGATATAGACGTTTTAGTCTCTGAGCTGAAAAAAAAAAAGAGGAACAAATAGTCAAATATTTGCAATGAACAGCCAGAAGGACCGTAATATAGGCCACAAATGTCTGAGTAGGGTTCAGCCGCATTGTGTTTATTTGCATATACAGCGGGGAAGTGAGATCCAATCACAAGTGGTCACACGAGATGCTGGTGGAGACGCATTTTAATGCCAGGTGTGAAAGAACGTGATATAAACAGGGCCTTTAAACCCGGAGCTGACGCAGCCGGCCTAGTGAAACTAACTGAACTGAATCTAACTATGGTTTCTGTATGTTTACCTTCGTTTAACTTTGCCCTGCTCCTTAAGTTGCTCTGATCTGCAGATAGTGCGTAGGGCTGGCAAATAGTCCAGAGCAGCCGCTGGTCTGTTGCACAGAGTACCAAACACTCCCCTGAACATCAGGCTGTCCATCACTTCTCTCCTCCGCTGGACCAGCCTGGAACACATCAATACACATTACTCACAAAGCGGTTGAACTCTGGCAAAACTGGCAGCAGTTTATATTGTAAAAGATGACATCATCGTGTAAAGAAAGAATAGTAAGACTCACCGTGGTGGACAGGGGCCGTCCTGAGTGAAGCTGTAACCTTCACGATGAGCAGCCACAGGAAGGGTGAGTTCAGCTCTAGCCTCCTTTCCCAGCTCCCCTTCCAGTTGTTGGACTTTGTCCCACGCGTTCGCTACTGAAACCCGACAGTTATGGAAGCTCAGAGCCTCCACAGCGGCCGGGATCTCCAAGAAGCGCTCTCCTCTTACCCAGCTCCCTCGGTCAGTCTCCACCCTCGACTCATCGGTCATCCCATCTTTCACCACTGCTCTGACTACTGATGTTCTCTGAATGTCACCCCCTTCTGGACGAACGAGCAAGGACGAGTCCATGTAGGACATGTTGTCCAAAAAGTCAGCTATTGATTCTAGACACTGGGAGACTGGGAGACTCTTTACCCGCTCCTCGGGAGTCAGTGGCTTCCTCTTTACTGTTTTTAAAACTAAACTCTCTTTGACTTCCTCCTTGGCCTGAGGAGGCTTGGAGAGAGATAGAAAACTGTCTTCTGAGTCAGAGTCAGAGTGCAGTGCATCCTGGTCAGGTAGACAGTGCCGCCTCTTGTTCTTCCTCATCCGACTGGATATTTTAACTGGACTGCCTTCATCTGAGCAATCCGCTGACACTGCATTGTGCAATAACCCGGGATGGGACGGCAGCATGTCATTCAGGCAGGTGGGCTGCAGCTCTTGTGGCTCAACAGAAGGATGGTCTTGTGATACAGAAACAGACTGCTCTGGTTTGTAGGTTGAGGTAGTCAGTTGTGTGAGTGGTAGAGGTAAGAGTGTTTCCATGTTGGAATAGAGCAAGTCCACTCCTCGCCGCCTGCTGTTTACCAGCAGCTCCCCACATAACGCCTCCTCCACTGCACTCCGGCTCTGTTGACAACACGTATCCGGTCAATTAAATCAAGCACAATGTGAATCAACAGAGAAAAACAAAATCACACACAGTGTGAGTGTATGTGGCAAATGAAGAGTTTACCCTGAGCAGCTCCCAAATGTCTCTCTCAGGTTCAATATTCAGCAGTCCCAGCATGCTCTCAGTGCAGCTGGTATCGCAGGGAGGGAGAGCGGATGGGGCAGTCGCTGCACACACAGACGTGCCAGTTGCCTCTTCTTCAGTTTCTGACCTTAGTTGAGCTTTTAAGAGAATGAGGAGGGAATATTATTAACTATATAACTTTATTTGTATTGCACTTTTCTGTTATTTAACAAATGACACAAGAGACAGTAATACAATTATACAGTAAAAAGTAAAACCAGATAATGTCTAGAAGACACAAAAATTAAAAAGGTGATATATTTAAAATGCAGTTATGAAGTGATGCAGATGGAGCTATGCAGATTGTTAATGGCAATTTATTCCACTTTTTAGGTGCCATGACAGAAAATGCAAGGTCATCGCAAAGCCAGAGAAGGAGTGCTAAAATTGGGGTAATGTGTTCTCTTCTCACAGTTCCAGTCAAAAGGTGAGCAGCTGCACTTTGGATGAATTTAGTGCAGAATATAGTTAGAGTTCAAGTAATCTGGAAAGGATGAAATAAAGGAAGGAATGACAACAGCAAAGAAATGGTTTGCTGTTAAATGTGCTTCTCAACTGAATATAGCTAGTTACTGATCTACAAAACATTAAAATATAAAGAAAGCAGAACCACTTTATCGCCAAGATTATTATTTCAACATTTCACCTCCTTACCATTCTTGTCAGTGTGCGTCAACGGCCTGGTTGTAGAGCGACCTCCTCCACTGCGAGTCCAGAACTGCAGCTGCAGTAAACTCTGCCGGATGTCACAGCCGTTGAGTCTGAGCAGAGAACTGATGTCCCACGGGTCGGTCCTCATGTCCTCTGCCAGACACAACAGCTGCAGGGAGCTGCTCATGTCCAACTGTACCAGGGAGAAAAGGAAAACTGAGACACTGACTGATATGATCTTTCCCACTTGATGAGCATCACAAGATCAAGCTACAACTCATCCGTTCAATAAGATCTAATAGTTAAATGTATATGTTCAGAAATCCTCCACTCACCAGTGATGGTGTTTTGAAATTGATCTCTTCAAAGTTCCCATCAAACATGGTGCTGAAAGCAGGATCTACAGGACATAGAAGATTTTACTTACATTTAAAAGACCAGACACAAAGTATAAAATAAATACGACCAACACAGAACAAACTGCAAGATATTGCCTCTGACTTTTGTCCTTCTACTCACCACTGGTAGTGAGGATGACTGGCCTCTTGGTAGTGGTCATAAATGTCTTGATGGCAGCTAGAAACCCTGAGTCATCATCAAAAATAACATCCACTTCTTCAAACAGGATAAGCGAGATGGCTGTCTTCTTGCTCTGCTCTTCGTTGTTTTTCACTTTAGGGGTGGTGGGTGTTGGGGATTTGACTGCAGGGTCTTTATGCTTACTGGTACACTCATTTGCTTTTAGGACTTTCTTGGAAGCAGCTATATAAAGAGATGAACGAGAGGGGAAAAAAGCAAAATACTTACTATTGAAAACTACGTACACTGATATTAATATATTGACCTAAATAAGTCAATCATATTAGTAAACAACTGACACAGTGAATGTGTGTTTACCTGTTTGTTCATTCTTCTTAGTGTTATGTGTCTCTTTGTTGGTGGATCGACCCATTTTGAAGAAGTTAGCTAAAGAGGTGGGAGCTAGGCCTCCTCTTTTAGCACCTCTTGGGGACTGGGGATATTTCCTGGGAGAGGAAACTACCCTACGAGGAGAGTTAACCTTTCCTGGAAGAGGAAGAATACAAATCAACAATA